TGCTTATAAACATATTAATGGCACAGGTGATATTACACTCTATTTAGCACAAACAGGGCTACCATAATATGTGAGCAACATGTATGTACATGTTTGTATTTTTGAGAGAATATTGTTTATGCATGGTTATTGAAAAAACTAAAAATTAAAGTTTCTGAAATAAAGCCACAAAACACATACAAAATATGTGTCCACAAGACTTTTGACTAATGGAAGTTGTTGCCTAGAGTTTTTGCTTCAAAATGATCTGAAAATCATCCTGTCTAATCATTGACATAACACAATAGATTCATTTAAATTGTGAAAAACATTTTTGTTAGCCAAGGCAATATGCGAATGGGCGTGAACGACCCAACCCCATTGTGAATAATTAGGTGGTTCACACCTGAGAAGACAAAAGTATATATGAAAAGTAATAATGAGCCTTTCATTCAGGTGTGTCACACAAGAAAGAATGCAAGGACAATACTCCCGTGCAAAGGCAAAAGACCGTAACTTCGTTTATGGTCGAAAATGAGTTATTGATATTTTTGGCACATTCAAGACCTCCTTTATCATGTGGATAAGTATCTTGAGTCAATTCCGTTGTTTTTTCGAGAAAATAGTGGTTTGTCTTAACCGTAACTTCCAAAAGCCCATGAGAAACCAAGGTAGAACACCGTAACACCAGTCACGGCTCTTTTGCTTAGTTAAATGCCTGTGAAAGTATGCGTCTTTCAGATCCACCGCTATAAACCAGTCTCCTGGTCGAATGTGCACGAGGATCTGTTTTATCGTGATCATTACATTACATTATAACACGTGTTTAGCAAGTCTTATGCCACTCGGTACCACTTGAAGATACTCTTTAGTCTTTACCGCTATGGAGGTATTTTGTCATGTCTAATGTATTAATAGGGCCACCAGAATGCAACCAAAGCACAATAACTAGAAGGCAAGGTAATTGTAAATCATACGAAATGCCATGATCACTAGATTTTATACAGGTGTTACTATAATGATTTTGTTAATGGTGATCAGCAACCAAATATTGATAATGTGGAAGTTACTGCATTTTGCCTTGGCATGACTTCTCACTTTTTGCTGACAATACAAAGGCAGAGTACAGTAACTTTAAAATAGTGGTCAAAAGTCAAGTTTGAGCTCAAAATTTTGTTATGTAGATAATTTTCATTACTTAAACATCTAATTGCCAGATTTTCAGTGTCCTACCTATAATTAATTTGGCGGGACAACTAAAAATAATCTTTGGAAAACAGTCTTGACTAATCAAACCACGAATGACGTGCTAAGTGAGCTGAACTGTATGAAGTTCAGTGAACTTCTGAACTGTATGAATGGCGTTCGTGGTTTGACTAGTCGAGACTGTTTTCCAAAGATGGCTCCTGTCTGTATACACGAAGTGGACTGTCTTTATCTTTATCTTCTATCTAAACAGTTTTTAGAGATAAAACTCTTTACATTCGATTATCATGAAAACAAATCTCAGAGAACGGTTGACTGGGTACCCATGTTTTATTAGACCAAAGGTTCATTTTGCGCCGGAGTTCTCCTTTAAGGTCTTTTGCCTTTGTAGGGCAGAATATACACACACACACATACATATATATATATATAAGGTAAGATTGAAGGTAAGATTTTCTTCAGCATTATTGCCCATTATTGCCCAGAGATTGTCCACCTACCTATTAAAGAATGGCTTCATTGACACTTCAGTTCAAAAAGCGGGCATTCCAGGGTTCTCAGGATGCTTAGAACACAACAATGTTATCTGGCAACGAATTCAGTCAGCTAAAAAGGAGAGGAATGAGCTCCATGTGACTTTCCTGGATTTGGCTAATGCATATGGTTTAGTGCCACATGAGCTTCTATGGGGAGCATTTGATTTTTTCAGAGTACCAATGTCAATAACAAATTTAGTGAAAGCCTATTTTGGAGATTTGCAATTTAGTTTCTCAACTCCAAAATTCAGCACCGCATGGCAATGCTTAGAGGTTGGAATAATGGCAGGATGCACCATTTCTCCACTGGCTTTTACCATGCCAATGGAAGTAATCATTAGGGCATCAAGATGGGTAGTAGGAGGAGAGCGCTTGGCTTCTGGGATGCGACTACCACCAATCAGAGCATACATGGATGACATGACAACCATGACTACAACAGTAGCCTGCACTAATTGGTTATTGGGGAAGTTAACAGGTAATATTGAATGGGCACAAATGCAATTTAAGCCCTCTAAATCAAGGAGCATCTCGATAGTTAAAGGAAAGGTAGTAGATAAAACATTCTTCATTAATGGTGAGGCAATACCAACAGTTTCTGAGAAGCCAGTGAAGAGTCTTGGGAGATGGTACGATGGGGATCTAAAGGACACAGTTCGAGTGGGAGAAGTTAGACGACAAGCAGTGGAAGGGTTGAAAAGCATAAACACCTGTGCTCTACCAGGCAAACTAAAACTCTGGTGCTTTCAGTTTGGTCTACTGCCAAGGTTGCTGTGGCCACTGGCTGTGTACGAGGTTTCTTTGACAACAGTGGATAAGCTGGAAGCGTTGATAAGTTCATACATCAGGAAATGGTTGGGAGTTCCACGCTGCCTCAGCTGAGTGGGACTTTATAGTAAAGGAATATTGCAGCTGCCAGTCTCTGCTTTAACCGAGGAGTTTAAGTGTGCCAAGGTCAGACTGGAAATGACCTTAGTAGAGTCACGCGACAAATGTGTAAGGGAGGCAGCCCCTGTGTTAAAAACTGGTAGAAAGTGGTCAGCAAAGAAATCTGTAGTAGAGGCAAAGGCTGACCTTCAAATTGGGGATATCGTGGGACAGGTACAGCATGGAAGAGGGGGTTTTGGGCTCAGTTTAGCTCCTCCTAAATGGCACAAGGCAGGCCCAGCTCAAAGGAGGAAGCTGGTAGTCAACGAGGTGCGAAAGCAGGAGGAGAGGATGAGGTGTATAAAGGCCATTTCCCAGGCCAAGCAGGGAGACTGGAGGAGATGGGAGAGTGTGGAACAACGCAAACTGGGCTGGCAAGACCTTTGGTCAATGGAAGAGAGTAGGATCAGTTTCCTTATTAGGTCAACATATGATGTTCTCCCATTACCGCAGAACCTAAACCTCTGGGTAGGAGAGGATCCCTCTTGTCCTTTGTGTTCATCACCTGCCACATTAAGGCACATTTTGACAGGATGTAAGGTGTCTCTTAGCCAAGGTCGGTTTACTTGGCGCCATGACCAAGTATTGCGATGTTTGGCTTTAGCATTGGAAGGCAAGCGTAGTATGACCAATAAGTTGCCGCCTGTTCTAGCAAAACATTACACGCAGAAGACAATATTCCTCCGCCCAGGCGAGCAACCACCAAGAAAAGGTGCTAACACCAATTCTCGCCCAGGACAACTGGAAGCTGCTGGGGACTGGAAGTTGCTGGCTGATCTTGATCAACGGCTTATTTTTCCACCTGAGATTGCCACCACTAACCTACGACCAGATATTGTTTTGTGGTCTGGATCAGCACGCATTGTTCAACTGATAGAGTTAACAGTGCCATGGGAGGCTGCGGTAGATGAGGCATATGAGAGGAAGAAACTGCGGTATGCTCATCTGGCCGCTGAAGCAGAACAGCGAGGATGGAGAGACCAGGTTTATCCAGTGGAAGTGGTTTGTCGAGGTTTTGTGGCACACTCTACAACCCGGTTCCTCAGAGATGTCGGATTCAGTGGCCAAGAGTTGCGTTGCACAGTAAAGAACTTATCTGAAGCAGCAGAGAGGAGCAGCAACTGGCTGTGGTTGAGACGGAAAGATTCTAGCTGGCTGTGTGCAGGCCGCCACGCTACGGTTTCGTAGAATTCTTGAAAACTTGAAGAGTCTGTTGGTTTATTTGTATAGGTTGTATAGTATTTACAGTCATTACGTTCCTGTGTATATTGCGTGAATGACGGGTGGTTGGGCAGATATTGTGTTTTTCCGGTAGGTGGTATGCCATACGGAACCGTTGCCACTGAAACTGCATATTAATGCACCAGTGAGGCTCGACAGCCTTAGTCAAACGGGTTGGCACGTATGGTTTGGTTGCGGAGAGATTGTGGTTAGGTCTCAGCAGCAGGAGGGATGTAGAGGTCAGTAAGCTGGGCTGAGTTGAGTGGGGGACGGAGGGGGGTGACTCTGGGACGCCAGAGTCACTGTCGAGCCCTCTTAAGGTGTCGTGGGCTAGTCGACGAAACACTGAGGACGGAAGGTGCCCACTTGAAGACCCTAGAGATGTCCCCTACTTGGCTCAATCCAGACGGTTGTCGTGCTGGTCCACTAGGGAGACCACACTGTAGTTGCAGCCGTCATGTGTGCTGACGCGCCAAGTACACTGCAGTCGTAAACGCCGGACAGAAGGGGAGTCACACCACCGTATGGAAAGAAGCGTAAATGGGTGAAGCATTGTTTACTGTAAAGCTACGTCTTAGTGTTGCTTATCTTGGCGAAAGCCGAGTACAAATCAGCATGAAGTTTTAACATCTACTCTCGTGTAATGGAAATCATGCTCTGGCTCTGCATGTGTTTTGCAGGAGGTGTGGCTTTAGAGAGCCCTTGGGGGTGGACTAATGGATTGATAGCCACAAGGTGTCTAACAAATGTCTCTGATACCTTCAAAGTTATTCATCGCATGGTATTTATAGCTGATGTGACTGGCTCAAAACAACCCGCCTGCTAAATTTCCAAGCAACCATGAGCAAAGAGAGCAGATTTCTAATTGCATACTTCTGAGGAGTCCTGCTTCAGTCAAGCAACTGTCATTGAAATAATTAGGAATGCTAAAAAATAGCTTTATGCATGAATTTAGACCTCCATGAAAAGAACATATAGTAAGCAAGTAGATTTAGTTTATGCTGATGTTCAGTCTTAATCCACAAGGAGGTGTCATTGAGTTCATTTGAATGTCTTTCTGTTTCTTACACTTTTTCTTTTTAACATTTGCATGAAGGTTCAACCAACCTGGATAAGGTTCACACAACATAAAACCACTACAAACACACTAGATGAGGTTTGAAACTGTCAATGACGAAAGAAGGAAAACCAAACACAACCAAGAGATACAGAGGCAGACACAAAGCCGACTAACAAATACAAAGAAATGCTAAGAAACAACACAGGTGAAAAGCACTTATGATCCAAGAAGAAGAAGATACAAGTTAAGAAGTACAAGAGAAGAGAAACAGAGATGGTGAGCGACGTCATAGAGGAACTTGCATCTTAAAGCACACTTCCACTTCACTCTTGGTCTTTCCAATACACACATTCACACACGCACTCATGACAAACAATGTGCACAGCTCTCATGTTGGACATTCGTTTTTAAACACGTTGTCAAAAACCTTCAATAATGAGCTACTGTGTCTTCCAGATCATCTGTAACCTTGCCGTTTCTCTCCTACTGCTATCGCTTAGTGTCAGCGGCACCACAAACCGTAAGTATTAAGATCTGTTCTATGATGCCCTGTAAATGACTGATGTCATTATATTGTTAAATGTGATTTCTAGGGAACATTGTGGTATGTGTATGACAACAGTTGTGGTATGTGTATGGTTTTGTGAGTAAAGAACAGCTGCTATTTAACCTTTCACCTGACAAATTTTTGACCTACTAGCTGTTTTTTCTTTTTTCAGTAACACCAAACACATTAATGTCATGTTCGGTATGTCTTGGTTCAGCTGAGTCAAACAATCATTGTGTCATTTAATAGAATTTTATAAATAATAATAATAATAATAATAATTTGATAGTCAATTGAATTCGGTTTTATCGGATCAGTGTTACCCCGTCAGCATCTGTTGCAGTTGGTCAGAGCTTCTTTTTGCCGATTGAACATTCAATCGCCTTTGTCTGAGAAGTAACGTATGTAATCTGGTGATTGCTTGTATTGGTCACTGTCTTATTTGTCATAGTAGTAAAGAATAAGCAATGTAATAATTATAATGCAATATTATGTAGTAATATTAAAATATATAATATAGTACTAATATAATATATTAATATTATATAGTAGCTGGCAAATATTTGCTTAGAGGACTTGAATTTTACAATTTTAGTTATTTTAAATTTTTATACTTATATCTATCTTAGACAATATCATTTGTTTTTCCAATATCATCAAAATCCTTTGACCTAGTCTTTACACCAATATCAACAGGTAGATGTATTGAATCAAACACAGTCTTCACAGTTTTTCATAAAAAAAAAACACAGAGTTTGTGCTCTGCATTAAGCTTAGGGATCGGTCGGGTTCCTCGTTACATAATAGTTGATCTAATTCTAATTGTTATGAAAAAAAAAACTAATTATTGAGAATTATTATGCTTTTATATTCATAGAAGCACACAAGGTTGTAAATTTGTCTTGCAAATTTGTCCTTGTAGTTTACACCAGTAAACATTCGGTAACACTTTAGAATACTGTTCCGCCATCAATGAATAATAACACAGGAACAAATGAGTAATGCAATAATAACATTCCAGTCACTACTATTAAGTAACAAGAAACACTGATTAACAAATCAGTAAGTAATAGCACTCAGCTGAATGCGGTTGACTATTAGCTAATTATCAGTACTACTATTTTTTCATACCTCTTGGAAAAATAATAACTAATATACAGGTTCATAATTATTTTGAGTAATATATAATTAATTGTAGAGTGAAGATCATGGTACCCCACTAGTGACACAAAAGACTCTTGAAGAATTTTGAGGTTTCTATAAGGTTTTGGATAGTAATTACTACATACTTCTAATGGAATTACTAATTATTTGGAACAGTATTCTAAAGTGAAGATCATGGTAACTCACCAGTAATGACTCAAGTGTTACCAAATCTGTCAGAAGTAATTACTATCCATAACCTTACAAAACCTCAAATGCTTGCAATGGCTTCAGTCAATATTAGAGAGTTATCATGCTTTTCACTTTAAAATACTGTTCCAAATTATTAGTCATTCTTTCTGAAGGACTTGGTTTTACATGAATCATTACTAGTGGGTTACCATTACCGTCACTTTAGAATTAATTATACATTATGCATTATTCACAATAATTATGAACCCGTATATAGTAGTCCTCTGGGAGGTATGAAAAAAAATAGTTAGCCAATTAGCTAATAGGGAATTACCTCATTCAACTGAGCACTATTACTAAATCAGAGTTTCTTGTTAGTTAATAGTAGTTATGTTAATATTGTGTTACTCATTTGTTTCTGTGTAGTTATTTATTACTGATGGAACAGTGTTCTTAAGTCTTACCACAAATATTTGAAGAAACCCCCTGTTTTCCTTTACTCTTGTAGGGTCGGAGCTGCAATGTGTCCAAATGATCAGAGTGCCACGAAACACAGTGTTTAGAGCTTGTGTTATGACAGAGTTGAAAATAAACTGTACTATTACTCAACATGGATGTCACAGGAGCCCACAAGTCTCATGGTGCAAAATCTATGGAAATCACTGTAAAGCTTTAAATCACTCATATTATATAGAAACTGAGTGGAAGAATATGACAGAGCATGAAGGGATGGCTTTCCTGACTTTCCTGAACCTCTCAATGGAGGACGCAGGTTTATACAGATGTAAAGAAGGTGACAACTCTGTTAGCCATGCTATTAATGTCACTGTAACAGGTAAGTGAAGGTATTCGTAGAATTTAAACATTCAGTGGTAACATTTTATTTTAATGTTCCCTTTTAAACATTCATTTACAACTACATGTCAAACTAACTCTCATTGGAGTATTAGTAGACTGTCTGCTTAATATCTGCTTTATTGTGATGGTCCTCCAACAGACATTTTACTGACTATAAGTAACTTTGCAACTATAACTTATTCTAATCCCCTGCAGTCTACTAATACTTTACTGACATTCTAATGAGTGCTCGTAGACATGTAGGTGCAATGTTACATATAGTCAACAGAATGTGCTAAAGGGACCATCAAAATAAAGTGAAACCCATTCGGTTGAATATACTGTAAATATAATAAAAGTGTATTTTAAATATTTTCAGTAAATAAGGAGGATGAGGTTCCACGCAATCAAAGCAACACAAGTAAGGGCATGGCAATACCACACATGATATTAGTCAAATTTTTGTTTTCTAAAGTCAAAGTACATTAAAGTGGATGCCTGATAAGTACAGCAGGTATTAAATATTCTAATGCCTACAATAATAGGTGATATGAATACAACTCCGGATGATGATCTGCAGTGGCTCTGGCCATATGTGTACATCTGCACTGGAATAGCCGGGCTGGTATTCATAGTTATGGCTGTTACATTACTTTTCATCAGATGCCAAGGTGAGTGGTTTGGGAAAGATCTGAACATTTACAATAACCTGTTCCATTAGTTTTTGTGTCCAGTGGCTGATTCTGTGAAATGTTCCATAGGGACAAATTCAAGAAGAAAAGATTTGGCATATAAAAATCAGGTATATTTTGTTTTCATTTTAATCTGTAGAACTGTTTATTGTCTCCACTGAAAATAAAGTAATTAAATGCTCCAGTTTTTCACTTCTACAGTACATGGAAACACAAAGAAGTGACCTGCCTCCTCCTCCTCCTCCTCATCCCCATCACAACACCTGTCCCCCTTCAGACCAGCCGACCTCTGCTTTATATCGTGTCTGTGAAACTCCACCTGTCAGAGGAGCATCACCAGCTGGAAGAGCTGTTGGCATAGAAAGAGGAGAAGAAGAGAATGCTCTTGTGTATGCCTCTTTAAAACACCAGGGTATGTCCAGAGGACCGAAAAGAACAGCCCGACAAGAACCAGAACCTTCAGAATATGCTGCAATCCGGTTCCGGTGATTAAATGAATCCTTTACTGAGACACTTTAAAAAAGAATACTGAGAAATGACCAATGAAAAATGATCACTCATTTGCTATTTTGTATTAAGAAATAATTTTAAAATACTCTCTATTACCCCTTTTCCACCAACAAGAACCGGGTGCTGGTTCAGAGCCAGAGCCAGAGCTGGTTCGGAGTTGGTTCAACTGACAAGCTTACTAAGAACCGGTTTGCTTTTCCACCGGCTAGAGAGCCACAACAGAGCCAGATCTTACGTCACTACATACGTCTCATGTTGCCCAGCAACGCTAGTGCGGTAGCGCCAAACACAAACACGCCAGGCTTGTTCGACATGCATCGGCTTCTCGCAGATCGATCGCCGCATGACATCAAAGCACTGCGAAAGCGATCCAAAAGCACAAGTAGTCGTATGATCTCCAAACACTCCCGCAGCTCCGATCGGTCCGCGGCCGCTCCGATGCATCTCGAACAAGCCATCAACAATAACGGACGTTGCGTTACTATGGATGCTCATGGGTTTGCAAAAATACATCAGAATTCAACGCGTTCGTGCAGCTTGCATATTATAATCAAGCTGCTATTAGCTCGACTAGCTGCTATTTAAAAATGGCGGTCACAAGTTTCTATTGGTCTTGTTGGTCACGGCAGCCCCTGACGCAAGCGGTTCTTACTTGGCTCTGTTCTAGACCAGCAATGATTTGGTGCTACGTAAGAACCACTTTTCCTGGTTCGGAGCTGGTGCTTTGCGTGTGGAAAAACAAAGAACCGAATTGAAACTAGGCTCTGGCTCCGAACCAGCACCAGCTCTGCCTTGGTGGAAAAGGGGTATATGAGGGGAAAGAATCTGAGCTTGACATGTATGATGTCAACTGCAACTGCCTGCTGGTGTCTCAAAGGTCTGGCATGCAGACTTAGACGCGTTCCTGGGTCAACATTTTTTGTTGATCCTGTAACAACATTCCTGTCCGAAAATATAATCCTAACCATATACCCTTAAATCTAACCCTACCCATAACTTATCCCTAAAATCAGAGGGAAATGATAGGTGAATAACAATTATGTAGAAGCACCTAACCCTGGTTATAAGCCTAAACTTGACATAAACTGTAAACTTGTCCTTTAAATCTGATTGGTTGATTGTAATGTTGTTCCAGGATCAACAAAGATGCTGATCCAGGAACATGTTGCACTTGGTGAAATCAGGTTCTGTGGGATATTACACATTGTGGCAGGAAATTAACCACACAGTAAATGACAATGGCTTCTACGCTGAATGACCCTGTTAATGTGCTATTTTATTAAATGTAAGAAGAGGTTTTGCCAAATTGCCTGTTCACACCAAGACAAAAAATATTGTAATTTGAATGCAGCTGTTAATCTGTTTAAACTGACATATAGGGCCCTAACACATACATGGCGCAATGCAGCGCCAGGCCCGATACAAGTGTTTTTTGCTAGTTTCAGCCTGGCGCAGTTATCATTTTCTCGTCCTGCGCCATGTTGTTTAAATATCAAATGCATTTGCGCCTATTTGTGTGTCAATGGGCGTGCTGGTCTGAAAACGAGGTGTGTTGCTATTTTGAGGCAACTGAAATAGACTGTACCATTGACCTACTGAAACCTGGTCTAAAGTCAATGGCGCAATTTTTTTTTTGTTATGCTAGTTAGTAATGTGCGCCTATAGGCGGGTCCACAACTCACCTACACTCTGCTTATTACACACACACACACACACACACACACACAGGGACAAGCAGCAGCACACAAACATGTCCAATATTACACATAAAAGGAATAAAATTGAAAAGATTATCATTGTGTACATACAGATATGGTGGAATCCGGCTTGTCCCGTAGATGGTTTGCCTGCATGTTTTAACCTCGTGCACGAGCAGATCCGTTTGCTCTCTGGAGACGCATTCAGTCTTTCCGCTTGCAAATTTAGTCTTGTAAATAGCAAATCCACCGTGGTGCGAGCGCAACTGGCTTTTAAAGGGAATGGGAGCTGAGACTCTGATTGGTTTATTGCACGTTACGCCCAAAACACACCCATTACTCATTAAGAAAATAGGGACAACCCTTTTAGACCATGCGCGCCGTCCATTTTTCCTGTTGTTAACCTAGCAAAAGTGAATTCGGAACCACCCTAACTGCACTTGCGCCGTGCGCTTTAGACCATGTGTTTAGATCGTTAAAATAATTTGCACACCATCAATTTTGTTTGGTTGGTAATGTTTTAGCAGTCCATGGGCCTCTATTAGCGAGACACGAATATCTTTTGTGTTAGAAATTCATCAAGGTCACCATCGCACGGAGAAAAAGACAGTACTCTTGAAAAACGAACACCATTAATTAACAATTAATGAGCCTGTTAAAATGATTTAAGGGGCATTTGTTACATAATGTGTATGTGCTTAGCCTAGTTATCATTTGCTTCACGGTAAGAGGTGCCTATGGCTTTAAGGCCCGTTCACACCAAGAATAATAACTATAAAGTTAACTATAACAATAACTATATTAGCACACACACTAACGGACAATAACATTCTGTTTATTATAAGCATTATAAGTCGTCTGTCGTTTTAAATGCTTAAGCTCATTAAGTCGGGTGGGTTCTGATTGGCTGTCGATGTTTTTATTGTTCATCAGCTGGGAAAAAAAACTAATTCTGATAGTGATTCCAACCATATCATTCCTCTGTGTCATTATTGTTATAGTGTTGGTGTGGACACGGTCCCCATTGTCATTGAATTAATAGGATTATTACAATTTTAAAAGTTATAGTTATTATCGTTTCTTCCCAGAAATGTATTGTAAAGATGTCATGATTTAGTGTTTTATTTTATTTTTTACAATCTTTCTAAAAGACCACCAGGCATTATAAGTGTCCCACCTTTTCTGTATCTAAGTTGTCTGATGTGTCGAGTTTGTGCGCAGAGCACAAACTGAGAAGCCCACAAGAGCAAAAGCACGCAAACACATTTCCTGTATGAGCAGGGGGGAGACTGCAACTTACCAGATATGGGGGTGGGATTCTTTACCTCCTACAATGAAGAATAGTACACACAGCCTCCTTTTTATTCATTAAAGGTCAATGAGTAACATACTGCCTTCTAATTATACTGTACACCTACAGTGAAGAATAGTAAATATTACCTCCTGCTGTTAATGTATTAAAGGTCAATGAGTAACATACTCCTATCTATGTATACAGTACATACTGTGTGTGTGTGTGTGTGTGTGTGTGTGTGTGTGTGTGTGTGTGTGTGTGTGTGTGTGTGTGTGTGTGTGTGTGTGTGTGTGTGTGTGTTTGTATGAATGAGTAAATTAATCCAATAGCCTATTCCTCATCAAGTTCAAAGCTTATTTGCAAGTGTATAAATCAGTTTGCTGCTGTACTCGTTGTGTTGGTGTGTCTAGACTGGTTTCACCTAAGACTGTGACTCATTCCTTTAAAGGGGACTTTCAGAAAAAAAGTTCCTTATTTAATCTCAAGATTGTATTTACCTTGACATGATTCAGTTAGAGAAATGTTTCTCTTGGAATAAGCACAGTTTCAGAATGTATGAGCAAGACTCTCCTCTCAGGGGAGTAAAAAATTATGTAATAAATGTGAATATGTTTGTTGATTGTTGCCTGTGAATCCCTTTTCGGTAAATAAACTGGTATAATCATTTAAAGTAATTCAATGAACCATTATTAATGAATGTTAATTGCTTACTTTTCATCATGAATTCCTCAGAAAACCTCAAGAAAATACATTTAATTCACACTTTAAAAGTGTAATGGCTTTATATATTAGATACAAATATTAAAACGAGTTATCTGCTAACATATGATGCTATGAGATTTTCTTCACTTTTCTGCAATGCCTTGTAACTGTTGTCAAAGTGATGTTTAGCGGATGTATGAAGATGAGTTCACTTAGCAGAGTAACCACAGGTGTAGTTCACCATATTAACATATACAAACATTTAGTACTGGTTTGACAACCAAAAAACAACAAATCTGTTTGTGATGATCTGTAACATGATGCGGTGAAGGCAGAGAGGAGGCTGGATCCAAACGCAGTGTACACGCTTTATTTAAACAAACTATAAACTTAAACAGAGACTCAGAACTAGGAACAGGAATCTTTATACAGGAACGACCAACACTCACGTTAATCCTGGAACAGAACATACATTCAACAACTCACAAAGACAGGGCAGAAACACAGGGCTTAAATAAACAGGGACAAACGAGCTAGACAGGATAACAAGGGGGCGTGGTTAACAAGAAACACCTGGGATAACTAATGGACAAGACAGGGAACCACTAAACCTGACAAGACACAAACCCACATCGTGACATAACCCCCCCCCCCCCCCCCCCCCCCCCCCCCCCCCTCAAGGAGCGGCTTCCAGACGCTCCAAAGACGATCCAGGTGGGGGGTAAAGCGAAGGCGATCCTGGGGGAGGGATGGAGGGCCAGGCCCGTGCAGGGGAACGGGACCAGGATATAGCCACGACGGGCCTGGACCGCAGAGCGTGGGCGACCAGGGCGGAGCAGGACGTGATGGCGGCCAGGGCGGAGCAGGACGTGATGGCGGCCATGGAGGTGAAGCCCCTGCAGACGACCATGGCGGCGCAGCCCTCATGGTCTCCTCACCAGACCCTTGTCCCCCCCCCCCCCCCCCCCCCAAAAAATACTTGGGGAAATCCAAGGGTTCAGGAAAGCCCTCCCGGAGCTTGAAGGGCGCAGGCAGGGCGAGGCGCAGAGGCGGAGCCGGCAGGGCGAGGTGCAGAGGCGGGGCCGGCAGGGCGAGGCGCAGAGGCGGGGCCGGCAGGGCGAGGCATCTGGGAACGCCCTCCGGAGCCTGGCGAACCAAACGAGTCCTCCTTCTCCTCCTGCGACGGCGAGTCACTGGGCTTGATACACTGACTTGACTGGATTCACTCATTTGGCTCGACTCATTTGATTCACTTGACTCGGGACTTGACTCGGCGGGACTTGACTCGGCGGGACTTGACTCGGCGGGACTTGACTCGGCGGGACTTGACTCACTTGACTCGGCGGGACTTGACTCACTTGACTCGGCGGGACTTGACTCACTTGACTCGGCGGGACTTGACTCACTTGACTCGGCGGGACTTGACTCACTTGACTCGGCGGGACTTCCCAGCTAGAAATGTTACGTTCCCAGGACGTTCTCAGAACGTCCCCACTGGTGTCAAGGACGTCGCCTAGTAACGTTCCGGGAACGTTCTGAGACGGTCGTGATGTGGAGTTCTTTAAAGGGTCGGAGGACGTTATTTTGCGGACCTTCACGGAACATTCGGGACCTTCTCGGAACGTTTAGGGGACCATGTTTTATTTGGAAATGAGAACGTTCTCAGAACGTCCCCACTGGTGTCAAATACGTAGCCTAGTAACGTTCAGGGAACGTTCTGAGACGGTCGCGATGTGGAGTTCTTTAAAGGGTCGGAGGACGTTATTTTGCGGTTCTTCACGGAACATTCGGGACGTTCTCGGAACGTTTAGGGGACCATGTTTTATTTGGAAATGTGATGTTCCTAGAACGTTCTAAGACCGTCCCCACTGGTTTCAAGGACCTGCATAGGGAACCAAACTAGAATGTAACTGCAGAAACTGTTCTTCTTGCAGAACCTTAATCAGGAATAAGCATGCACGTTTAACACAATCAAAGATAAAATACAAAGCAGGGATCCTTCATTTATATATTTATTTTGTGTGAACAAAAACAGATTATAGATTAATTGAGCGTCAGCGTCAGTTCTGGCAGGCCAGGTAGTCAAGCAGCTGCTTATGCTATTTGCTATCAACACTGTCCCGTCAGCTGATCTGCTCCAGCTGAGCTGCATTAGCTGGTTAACTCCCCTCGCTGCTCAATGGCCAAGCTCAAACAAGGCGCCCTATTTAAAGCTCATTCACCTTGCTCATACATGCTTGCTGCTTGCTCTGCTGGCTCGCTGCTCGCTTCTGCTGGCTCGCTGCTCGCTTCTGCTGCAATATTGACGCATGACTCGACGTGATTCATTCTCCATTCATCTCTGAAAATCTTCACGAAGCTAAGTTCCTTTTTAATATTCATTGCTAAAAGCTATCAGTGTGTTGGCAACATCCTTCTTGTTAATGCTATCCGTGTGGCATTTGGGCTTATCTAACTAGTCGTTTTCATAAAAATGCTTATGCGATCATATTGGCTACGTGCGTTATCTGTTGTCATTGGCAACTGATCGCGTTGCTCACGCTGGCTTTTACCACTATGCAGCGCAGATTCAAACAGCTTGCTGTGATAGGAATTCACTTCTGCGGACTGCCTTTTCGGACCGTATACAGCTCATTCTTACGCATTGTGCAACAACTACGGCGGCGACACGTACTCGCTCCGGTTTAACCCTTTAAGCTATGGGGCGGTGGTTTCTGCTGCTTACGAACGATACCTCCGTCTCGATGTTCGGGATATTCTTGACGACCAGAAGCCATGAGCTCAAGTCTCTGATTTGTTTCGTTAATAAAACACATTTGATCATTATTTTGCTCGCGCTCTGCTCAGTTAACGCCCCTGAATGCGCTATCAGCTGTTAATTTATTCATCTAGCTCGTTCTCAGAGGTGGATTAATCATCTATCCATAGAGCTTACACTGTAGACTGTCAAACAGTAAATACAGATAATCTAGGTAACAGCATGTTTTAGCTATTGCGGTCTTGATTAGTCATTTCAGTAATTAATTAATATTTTACTATTATAAATCGCTAAATTAGGGCGGCTCAGTCGACACCGTTCGAGACACTCAATTTTGTTTTGGGGGGAATAGCTCGTGTGGTCAAATAAATCATCCTCTGTATCACAGAGGATTGCCAGGTGTGGTTTTGTTTGGGGGGATATTTTAGCTCTCACAGTCTAAAACTGTGTGAGCGTTCCCTAATGCTGCTGCTGCTGTCCTCTGACTCTCTGCTATTTCATGGTGCTCATGAAAGGTCAGAGGACTCCCTGAACAGAGCCATACCGCCAAATTTCAATTCAGGAACATCAACCTGTTTGCAATCTATTCAAATAATTCTTAATTATTTTGTCTGTGTGTTCTTGACTTAATGGACCTGACAGAAATTGAGCGTCAGCGTCAGTTCTGGCAGGCCAGGTAGTCAAGCAGCTGCTTATGCTATTTGCTATCAACACTGTCCCGTCAGCTGATCTGCTCCAGCTGAGCTGCATTGGCTGGTTAACTCCCCTCGCTGCTCAATGGCCAAGCTCAAACAAGGCGCCCTATTTAAAGCTCATTCACCTTGCTCATACATGCTTGCTGCTCGCTCTGCTGGCTCGCTGCTCGCTTCTGCTGGCTCGCTGCTGCTGCCCTCCACCTCCCCAGCTCCTCCTTATGCATAACGTGGCATTTGCTATGTCATGTTGCTGCTCTGTTCACAGGGGGATATTTTAGCTCTCACAGTCTAAAACTGTGTGAGCGTTCCCTAATGCTGCTGCTGCTGTCCTCTGACTCTCTGCTATTTCATGGTGCTCATGAAAGGTCAGAGGACTCCCTGAACAGAGCCATACCGCCAAATTTCAATTCAGGAACATCAACCTGTTTGCAATCTATTCAAATAATTCTTAATTATTTTGTCTGTGTGTTCTTGACTTAACCCTTTGACGCGTACGATCACACCGGTGTGATCAGTCTTGGCTGGTCCCTGGAGCGTACGATCACACCGGTGTGATCAGTCTTGGGTGGTCCCTGGAGCGTACGATCACACCGGTGTGATTAGAACGGTCAGTGCATCACGTGATCAACTGCTAAATTCAAACGTGCTTTCGCGCGTTGGCTGGCGCTGAGCCAGAGACAGACGCCCTCAGTGCTGTCATATATCACAACTATTGAGTATTTTAAACCACATAATGTTTATTTTAGGTTTCAGACATTTAAATACACATAAGTACTAGCAAAACAGTGATTTTGAATTAGTAAAATAGACACTGATGTCTATGGAAACGGCAACAATAATCATTTCCATTATAATAAGACAAAACGTTTTATTCATATCAGATACACATTGTGTAAGTAGCTTTACATTTTACCCTATTCTTCTCCTAGTTCACCGGCCACTTACTTTCATGTATTTCGTGAGAAACAACAGGTCCGATTCTCTGAACTGTGAAACAAACTAACATGGCGCCGCCCATCGTGCATACA